GTCGGCAGAAGCATTAAAAGATCAAAACATGGTCTTGCGTGTTCCTAGATATGGCTTTGTGCACTGTTGAAGGATTCGGCATCATCCGTTGGGCCAGGATATCCAGAATTCTAGCAAGTTGAAGTGACTCGGATTGAGCATTGCGTTGGAGCGAACACGCAAGGACGGCTGGTTAGGAGCCTGGGTCGTTGCGTCAAAATTGAACTCCCCTATTAAATAAGGGACTTCAGAGTCGGAGAACCGATGGGTTCAAACCGGTTGGTTCTGATTTCAAAACCAGCAACAGTTCTACTTTGAACGGATTGTTACAGTTTTCGTTTTCAATCGATTCTGGTCTTGTCGCAGTTTGAATTCGAGGCAGGAACCGTCGGGAAGTGGTCCAGCTTTTGTGATCAATCCTCGCTTGCCGCACGCTCACCAAGTCGCAATGCCTCATCGCGCTCCCTCAACTCACATAACGAGACGCGAACGGGATGATAATGGACTCCTTGAATCGATTCTGTTTCAACTGTTGTCGGTTCAGAACTTTTGAACTCCGAGAATTTTTTTCCTTTTGAACCAGCGGGTTTGAAGCTTGGACCCATCGATTCTCCAACTCTGAAGTCCCCTAATGGAACGTGAATTTGAAAGGTTTGGTAACCGGGCTTGGCAGTCGCGACACCGTGGTTAGGGTTTATCGCGACTGCCGTTGTCTTGGACAACGACGGCGAGAAATCAAGGTGAATGCGAGCCAGCAGAAATCGAAAGTAATGGCCAGTTTTCCAGGGCCAGCATCCTTTGGGTCCGACGATGAACTCATCGTCATGGAAGAAGAGGACGAAGCATTTGGTAGGGAGTAGTGCCAAGCATTCCGACTTGACCTTTTGACCCAAGCCATTCTCAAGGTTCAGACGAAGAATATCTCGAGAGCAGCGAAGATGACGATGAGAATGATGAGGATGAGACTGACGAAGAGAGCAATCAAGTCGAGCCAGGAGATGGTGGTGCGGAAGAAGAAATCGAGGGCGACTTTGAGTGAGTGATTGCACAGACTTTAGCCTACCTTGCAAAATCTCATTTGTTCTTCAGCCGTCTTGTGCAGAGTATTCGGTCGAGAGATGACCCTGCTGCTGCTGCTGGCTTGACCAAGGACTGGGACTTCAGCATCGAGGACAAGGACGCCGAATTCCGTGATGATCTACGCGAAGCTTCCGGCGTCGGTCGCAGACGGAAGAAGGGGGTAAGTCGCGCGCGTTTTCGACGTGTTTTTTCTCTGAATAGGTTGACAGAAAGGCAGACAATTGGGACCAGTTCTATCCCAACAAGTTCGCTCCCTCATCGGCGACGGGAACCAGGCGTATGTCGACAGCGATCTCCCGGAGGCGATACGTATCATGCAGGAAGTCATCCGCATTGAGCCACGCGCGGCGTCTGCATGGTCGGTGCTGGCACAGTGCTACTCGGACATGGCGCAGCCGCAAAAGGCCCTTCAGCTCAGAATCATGGCGGCACACTTGAGGCACGACGCCGACGAGTGGGATCGACTGGCTACACAGTCTAGGGAACTCGGGCACAACCAGCAAGCGCTGTACTGTTACCGCAAGGTATATAGCCTAGATCCGACGAACGTTGACGCACTATGGGATCGCGCGTCGCTCGCAAAGGAGACCGGAGATCTGAAAACCTCGCGGAACGCGTTCCTTTCCATTCTCAAGCGCTTTCCACATGACTTGACCGTTCTGGCTGAGCTTAGAACTATTCTCATCGAGCTTTCGGACCTCCCCACTTGCGCCAACCTCTTCCAGCAGGCCTTTGCGCACTATCAGCAAAGATACCCTTCTGGCCGCGGTATGGACGTCGCGTCAAACACGGAAATTCCGGGTGGCGGCTTTGGGCTCATGGAGATTCTTGTCCTCGCCGATCTCTTCAACACGCTTGGAGAGCACGAGCGTGCCATCGACACGATCAGGAAGGGCTGCAGGTGGCTGCAAGGTCGCGGTGACCAGAAATACTGGGATTCATGCAACGACGATCGAGAATACGACCTGCTTGAGATGGCGCCGCGGCTTGGAGTGGGAGACGGCGGCGGTGTTGAACCAGGAAGATATCCACTGGACATCAATGCTCGACATCGACTGGCAGTGGCCCGAATCAAGATGGGCGAGATTGACGAGGGCAAGGTAAGCTGCGGGTATCTTTTGGGCACATTTATGCGTTTCTCAATATGGACAATAGCTGCATGCCAATGCGGTGCTTTCTCAGGATGTGTTGGACTATGCACCCCTCTTTGCAGAGATCGCAGACGCGTACTTTGAGCGAGATTTGTACGCCGAGGCACGGCCGATCTATGAACTTCTCGGTGCCGATGCAGCAGTATGTTTTTCTTCTATGTGTTGTCCAATGTCTCTTTGATCACCGTGGCCAACAGACAAGCAGCTTATACATCCTGCTGCAAACTGCAGCATGTCTGCGCATGCTCGACGAATTAAAGGAGGCCGCCGAAGTTTATGAGCATGGTGCCTAATATTACTAGTGTTTGTTCTGATGTTGGGCCGACCTCTCCTATCCAGTTCGAATTGCCGACCCTACCCACAATGAGGCCAAAATGAAGCTCGCCGAAATCTACGAAATTCTCAATGAGCCCCGCAAAGCCCTCGAGCTCGTATATGAAGGTTTGTCCTTTCAGTTCATCACACCACTAACCCTAGCTCATCAATGTCCAGTGATTGACTCCCGCAAGAAGCGACCCAAAGAAGCCAACGCATCACAACCCTCCGATGGCACCGCTGGCTCCACTTCGCTATTTGAAGAGCGCGCAAAGTCAAAGGCCTCCGCCGCGAAGACGCAGGGCCGGCTCACCCATGCCCAGCTGCGTGAGCTCGAGGCCGAGAAGGAGAAGGAGGTAATTCGGGGCTATAAGAGAGCGAAGGAGCTTTGGGCCGGAATGCTTGCGCATGACGAGGAGGCGGAGCGTGAGTGGCTTACTGAGGCGGAAAAGTTGGTTGAGACGTTCAGGGAAACGAGAAATCTGTTCCTGACTACCAGGGTACGGTGCATTTCTGTGTCATGAAGGCTGTCTGACGAGGTCTGTGCAGACGAACCCTTTCAGAGGGATGTTCCCGCGTTCGCGGCCACAACAGGATAACCAACATGAGGAAGACGAAGATCGCATGGCATCCCGTCTTAACCTCGACCTCGGTACGCCCTTTTTTCATGCGTCCTTCATTGCGTACTGAATGACAGAGCAGAACACGACACATTGACGAAGAAATCTACGAGGGACAAAGCTGTTGATGTTTTCCGAGGCGTCTCGTTCAACGACTGGCTACGATTAATCATGCAGGTAAGGATCATAATTGTACGTGCGCTTTCGTTTTTATCTCATGAATGCTTTGAAGTATTGTTTTTTGCTCACTAAACGGGGCCAATTTGAGGCCGCCGACGAAATCCTTCGCCATATTCTTGTATCCAATGCCTACCAGGCGCGTCGTCGACAGGATACCATCAGGATTGCTCTGATGGGTGAGCTTTGTTTACCTCCCGACGCCTCTCACCCCTACTTATGACCTCCATTATTTCAGCTTGTGCCATTGCGAATGAGCGGCCTACAATTGTTGTCGAACAAGCGCGAAAGTTGATCACCGGACATCAGTTCAACAACGAGCCTCAGCGTATTCTGATCGCTGTTCTCTCAAGCGGCTTACGGCCCACAGACGCGTTCATTACTTCCACACTGCAGAAACATCTGTTCCGTGAGATGAAGCTCGCCGATGTCGCTGTCAGGAACCCCGAGGTGCTTCGATGGAACCCGCTTAACAAACGTTACGCGCCAACTGCCACCGCCAAATCTGAGCCAGGAGACGGCGACGATGACGTGGAAGATGTCGAGTCAGCCGCCGCAGCAGAGAAAGACACCAAGGTCTTGGAAATCCCTACCAAGAACAACCCGATCATCGTCGCCATCTATGGGCAGATCTGCATTGCTGCGAAAAGTTACCAAAGCGCTATCTGTGAGTGGTCATGCGGCGTTCGTTTATATATTGCGATGCTGATGGGGACATGCCGCAGTCTATTTGTTGCATGCATATGATTATTGTCCCGAGGATCCCATGATCTGTCTTTGCCTTGCAATTGCATCCATTGGACGAGCGATGCAACGTCAATCGGATAATCGACACCACTTGATTACACAGGTACGGTTTTACGGTTCCTTCTTCGATGCTTTCCTATTGGATACTGCTCATTATGTAACTTTCTGACTCTTCACGAGCAGGCGATGGCATTTCTATCGCAGTATCGCAAACTGCGCGCACATGATCCACAGGGCATGGGAGAAGTGGAATATAACTTTGGGCGTGCCTTCCATCAGCTGGGTGCGTTTTCCCCCAAGCAATGTAGACCGTGATGTATTAACACCGTCCGTACCTCAGGCCTGTATTCCCATGCAGTGAAGCATTATGAGCATGTGCTCGAACTCGCCGAGAAAGAGAGCCCTAATGTAAGAATCATAGCCATTGCAAGACTCTTCCTTGCTGACGGGCGTTTGCAGGAAAATAACGTTGCAAAAGAGGCAGCCTATAATCTGTCTTTAATCTATGTCTTGACTGGAGCAGCACCCCTTGCCGAGGCCCTTTATCGACGTTGGCTGTCTCTCTGAGCCAGCTTGTAATAGAACAGACGAACCTCATATTATAACTGCCATGTATCCTTGTCTATGTATTGAAATTATTTGTATGTATTCTCAGACTTGAACGTACACTTCCTGCGTCTTTTTTGATTCCGTATACACAGTTCAAACTCCACGAGCTCGCTGAATTTTTTGTTCTCCAAGATATTCCAGAGCACCAGTCATTCCTTTTTCCATTACTTACCCTCATCTGTTGCTGTATACATGATTTCCTTTGAAAGTACTGTGTCCGAATTGCAGGAGGACTAGATGCAGTCCTCACCTGAGTTGTGCGAGGCCGCTCAGCACACGGATCACAAGTCAATATCCCAATGACGTCTGGATTGTACAAAGAGCCGGCGTAGTACAATGGTAGTACATTGCTTTCCTAATCTTTAGATAAGAGCTTGAAAGGCAAAGGTTGTGGGTTCGAGCCCCATCGTCGGTTCTTTTTGTCCGTCCCTGAAGCGCTGAAGCTCTTGAACCAGCCAAAGTCGATGTGCTCTTTTGGCGATGCATATAATACGAAATATGTATATTTCAATGATGTCCGATAAATCGCATGCAAGTTACATTACATAAATAGATACGAATTCCGAGTGACATTAGAGTTGAGTATCACGCTCTGCTTTCCTGCGCGCAGCGGATTCCAGTTCCCCAAAGGAACCACTTTTCAAGCACATGTTCCTAAAAATGCCGTCGTCTTTCTGGATCAACTTCCAGGGAGTGTCGCATTCAGCAATCTTGAATAAATCCAGAGGTCAACAATTTGGAAGAGCATTTTGAAGAGGCACGCTACCTGTCCCTTATCGAGCACAATGAGGCGGTCGTAGTCTATGACAGTGCGCAGTCGATGCGCAACTATGTGAAGAATAATAAATCAATAATCATAGGTCGAATACACCTCAGCACGTACCAGTCAGAAGAAGGGAAGAATTGAATTCCTCGCGAATGGTGGCCTGAATTTTAGCGTCTGACGCGAAATCGATGCTACTAGTCGCTTCATCCAAAACAATGATAGAGCTGCGGCGAAGAAGTGCGCGAGCCATAGCGATCAACTGTCTTTGGCCTTGAGAGAAGTTGGTGCCTCCGGCAGAAACCTGGGTCTCAAGCGAGACTGTAGTCTTCGTGTCAAGATCGGTGGCTGCAGTGGAGATAGAATCCGCTGTTTCATCCTTGTCAGCGCCATGGATCGAAGCGGCGCGAGATGCGACGGGCGACGAGCTTCCAGAGGCATGATGCGAACTAGATGGGGTATTGCTGATCATCCCGACGCGCTGAAGGACATCTAAGCATTCGCTATCAGTGTGTTCACCGAATGGATCCAAATTATCCCTGAGAGTCCCTGAAAATAACGTTGCATCCTTTCAACGGCTATCAGCGAGTTTTTATGTGGCGGAAGGACATGTTGGACTGACTTGGGGGATGAATGTCTGGAAAGATCGAGTTAGCCCTCATCTTGGGCTGGCGAAGACGAGCTTACCAATCTAGATCTCAAGTCGTGGATTCCGATGGTTGAAATATCGATTCCATCAATGAGGATACGCCCAGTGGTTGGGTCCACCTACCCCCAAGATTAGGAATCTATTGACCAAGGAAGACTGTGACGTACAAATCGCAGCAAGCTCATAGCCAGCGTCGACTTGCCGCTCCCTATGAATAAGCCGTCAAGATTCGATGCTTGGACGAGAATCTATTGCGCGACTGACCTGTCCGCCCCAATAGACCGACACGCTCTCCAGCCTTTAGTGTAAAGGAAACATTCTGGAGGACGGCAGGGAGGTCGGGCGCATATTTAACGACAAGATTCTCAACGACGACGAGCGAGTCGTTGTCAGAGCTTGAAGGCCAATACGCAGGTACGCGATTCGATTCAATGACAGCGGGAGGCTCCTGTGGGAGATCGAGACTTGTGCGGAATGTTAGAAGAGCCAAGGGCATCTAGAGGGGTATACTCACTATTCCACAATTCGCTCCACAGAACTGGGCACCTAGTCAGTCCAAATTCATAGGAAGGGAGGACCAATACGCACTTCAGATCCAACTCCAACGCTATATAACAGGATGATCAGAACCACAAACATATTATCGACGAGGTGCGCACCTGTCCAGAATCGACAGGCCCAATACACTGTAAACAAAGCAGATCAGCCGCAAAAAACCCTCAAAAAGTAGAAGAAGGTCACCAGAGGTTGTGAAGGCCATTGCACTCGTGATACAGATACCTGCCAGACCAGCACCGCCGCTCAAAGTTGCGATCGAGAACACCATTGTGATCAGGACGGCTAATGCACCCAGGCCATCGAAGTTCACCAGCAGCCACCGGTTGGTCATCCAGAACGTGTACCACATCTAATTTTCGTCAAACACATGTTGACGATGATGTACGAACATCGCACCTGAGTCGTGGTATCGATCTTGCGATGGAGATTGTCCAGGAATCGGCGTTCCGATGAGAAGGCACGAACAGTGACAATACCCTCCAACAGCTCTCCGAAATCAGAGAAAATTGGCGACCTCGAATTGGATTCCATGCGACGCAGGTCGCGTCCTGTGTTCAGATATCCGATCGCCAATTCACGGTAGGCCAAGCCGATGAGTGCAGCCGGCACAAGGAACCAAGGGAACACGAATCTATGAAAGAGTCAATGGTCGTTCACACATTGAATGAAAGGCGCTTACGCAACGATGACAATAGATGCGAAGAAACTGGCGAGGGAAGAGTTGACGGCCTGAAGAGATGAAGCCAAGGAGGAGTCGATGGTTTCCACATCCTTTCCAAAGCGATTAAGCATTCGGCCTGAGGAAAAGTCAGTCAAGAAAAATCCTCAGATGCGATAAGAGGAACGCACCCTGAGGCGTGGTATCGTGAAATCTGAACGTTGCGCGCACAACAGTGACGAGCAACTTCCTATTACCAGATGAGCCGCAGTTACACGCACTTACTGTGAAAGAGCTTACTTGAAAAGAATTCTAGACGCCCTCAACGCGCCAGTGTACTGGGCAATCGTGGAGCTGACGCTCGTAAGAGCATTAGCCAACCCAATCGCAGCGTAAATCCCAATGTAGAAGTAGGGGTGCTGAATAGCCTCGGGCCAATTGATACCAAACCGACCCGTCTTGGAGAACATCCCATGGAATCCATTAGTGTGGTAGTGCGAGGACGAGTATCCGTTCATTGGGACCTCCTGTTCCCTGGTAACGAATGAGCGGAACATATAGAGCGCTGGCACATTTTCATTGTCTCCATAAGCCTCTGCCCAAATCTTCTCAAACACGTCAACATCGATTAACGTCGGGAAAAAATGCAAAAGAACACACCATGATCCAAATTTTCTCGGTCAGACCCAAGATTTGAGAGACGCCCACAAGTGCAACAAGGAACGCCCAAATCCAGTATGAGCTGACCAGAGATATGAGGGAATGCGCTTGCAACAGGAGAGAGAGAAAACGTACGAAGCCTTCAGATACCTTTTGTAGATGGACCACTTCACGCCACCTGTCTCGCGATGCTCGTCCTTGACGAGCTTCCGAGGTTTATTAGTACCTTTGTCCTTCGTAGCTTGCGCGTCGACTTCCTCGAGAGGTGCATCCGCAGCGATCACTTCTTCCTTATGGGCCTCGACTGCAGCATCTTGCTTGATATACTCCAAGACCCCTTGGGCCTGAAGGTCTTTGATAGTGCCTTGGGTGTCGATCCGGCCATCGAGCATGCGGACGAGGTAGTGTGCGCCGGGAAGGACCAGTTCAACGTGGTGCGTGACGAGGATCTGAGAGTAGTGTGTGAGTCGTGTACCCAAATAGTGACGCTGATTGACATACGACGGTGCGATTGGCTAAAAGAGGCCCAAGGAGCAAACGCTCGTATAGGAACCTCGACGTATGGCTGTCCTAAAATCAAGTTGTTCGTCAGCACACAAAGCTGATCAGGGGAATACCGCCAGTCTTACAACGGCACTGAGCGGATCATCAAGTAGGACATATTTAGTGCGCGCATAAACGGCACGCGCCAGCGCAACTCTAACAACACACAAACCATATCAGTATGCGCATCGACAGTCATCATAGCCACGAAAGAAACCGACCTCGCCTTCTGCCCGCCCGACAAGCTGACTCCCCTGGCCCCAATCTCCGTGGCATCCCCATCTTCAAGGACCTCCAAGTCCGGCCGCAGCGCAGAAGCCTCCACGACCGCGTTGTACCTTTCCTCCTCGAAGGGGGCGCCAAAGAGGATGTTGTCGCGGATCGATTGATGTCGGAGCCAAGGCGCCTGTGCAGCATATGAAATGGCATGTTTGAGGCCATGCTCGTCGATACGATGTGGGTCTTTCTCCAAGATGATGCGACCGCATTGTCGTTACCTTTACCCTTGCCCTTATCGACAACCTTAGCCTCAACCTCGTTCCACTTTAACGACGCGTTCTCTAAGCCAAGTCCTTCGTCATTTTCGGGATGTAGCGGGGCCGATGCAGCGCCATCCTCCTTTTTGAGCGAGGAAACCTGCGCATCGACCTCGTCTTCTTCGAGATACACCGCGATACGGTTGAGTGCTACGCCCGTCTGGAGGATTTGTACGATCCATGACGGGATGACATTCAGCGGGGCCCTGTGAATTTGGTGAGCCTAAAATAGGAAAAAATGTAGCTGATGGTATACCTGATCATGTTGAAAAGGGCAATCGACTGTGGGGTGCATCCCTGAGATTTTGCGCATGAGATATTATGAAACAGTGGAGCTTACCGTGAAGGCGATAGGAATAGTGAGCTCATTGCCTTGCGCGACGTACGCAAAGAACGAGATGACCGAAACCAAAATCGGGGCACACGTCCACAGGAGATAAAACAGTGCCGTATTCACGCGAGCTGACGAACCCCCCTATTAGCATTTTCACAAACGCACGACACGGTACGCACCTTTGACCATCCACTGCATCTCAACCTCACGCGCATCCATCGCCTTTTCGATCCACTTCTCCTCCCACGCAAAGAATTTGATAAACTTGACCGCGCCAATAAGCTCATTGAGCACTCCCATACGTTTGTCGCGCGCTGCGAGGGCACCTTTTTGGATTCGGATGCTGCGGCGAGCGATATAGCTGTTCAGCGGCCACCCAGCAAACAGAACCACGAAGCCGGCAAAGGCGCTCCAGCCAAGAAGCCTGGTTTGGTGTCGGTGGTCAGTGGGACAGCTGGAAGAGGAAGAAGAAAGCGCACTGGTAGAGGAATGTGCTGGCGATGAGGATCTCAAAGGGTGCGCCATAGATGAAGTAGGATGCAGAGACTGTTTGGGAGACCTATGTAGACAATGAGATTTTTCGACTGCCGCCAGATGGGATAAGAAACGCACCCGATTGGCATCGCCCGCCATGAGATTGACGATCTTGCCCACGTCCGCACCAGCCTTCGGCTCATCCGCCTTTTCCTTCTTCTCTTTCTCGGCCTTTTTGCG